ATTCCATGATCCGTGCTGACCACATGTCTTGCCGTGATTTCATCCTGCAGCTAAACAGACCGTGGAATTTAGTTTGATAATCAGGTCGCCAACAATTAACTCTTCAATACATGACGGTGTTACTAATGCATCCACACTAACCCACATGATCCAAATCACTCCAAATTGACGACTCCACTGGCAAGACAGCGAGGCGGTGTGTAAAACACAACCCATTGATGACCGGTGTCCATTTGATCGAATCATACGTACTGTCGGAACGATAAGTCCGCAATACACCGGTGAAGCAGCAGTGGACTAGCGAAAGCGGCTTGTCGATTTTGCGAGGCTTGTGTGATTGGAGACATGACATCAAGCGGAAACGTTAGTTTTAGAAATCAAATCATGCAATAATGAACAACTACCACACTTTGGTTGCGATCCGAATGATTGACGTCATCCATCCGTATCGAATGAGGGGGAGAGTACGGCAGTCAAACAACAAAATAACAATTTCAACCACAACGCTTTCAACTATCCCGATAAACCCGTTGCGTGGAAAATCAGGTAAACGATAAACTCGAAAACAGCGCTGATCCCAAACGGAGTTCAACATATGAACCTATGTATGCGTCTGAAAACCCGTCGTCTAATAATGTTTTTTTTCACACAGTCATACATCGTTCTCACTCAGACAGCAAATTGGTTCAAAGTGTCATTTTCCAAACTGAAGTAGAACGACCGAATATGTAAGATACCGATGCAGTTAGGGATGTAAACAGTCATTCGATTGCACGACAATCATGCGCAAACAGGCTGGAAGATAAACATAAAACCGTTTGACCTCTGAACTGTTTTTCTAACCGTATCTGCAGTAACCACCGGTTCGCGACATACGGCAACAAATGAGAACGAACTCTGAGCCCAGAGCACTGGTAAAGCACTGGTATAAAACGGGACGGTGCATGAACAGTGATACCAATCGACAAAAGACATCCGGTGAACGCATAGAACATGATGCTCACACTTGGCCTTACCATATTGCTAACGTTATCTGGTCAATTCACACATGCAATCGCTCTGGACCAGTTACAGCTGAATGAGCAATGGTCACAGTGGAAACGGGTGCACAACAAACAGTACGCGGACCAATCGGAACACGATCGTCGTGAAAATCAATGGATGCAAAATGTGGTGGAGATAATGCAGCACAATGTACAATACGATCTCGGTCTGGTTACCTACGCAATGGGCGTGAACGAGTACTCCGATCTGAGTTGGGATGAGTTCCGCGATCGCTACGCGACCGGGTTCTTGGGAGGTGTGTTCGAGGGCCAGCAGGAATCGACTGTATTCAATGCGAGCGAAGTGGATCAAACGATCGCGAACAGTATTGACTGGAGACAGAAGGGATTGGTTCGTCCAGTGAAGAACCAGGTAAGCTGATTCCGTACATTTGAGCTGCTTTCAAAAGTCCGATAAAGCGTGGAATGCCTCCTCTATTCCTATTACCTTCTCATGTTTCTCGGTTCAATTATGGTGTTTAGGGTCAATGTGGATCTTGTTGGGCATTCTCCACGACTGGTGCAATCGAGGGCCAGTACGCTAAGAAGTACGGTAGACAGATGGAATTCTCCGAGCAACAGTTGGTCGACTGTAGCACAAGTTACGGCAATCATGGTTGTCACGGAGGTCTGATGGAAAATGCGTATCGGTATTTGGAAAAGTTTGGTTTGGAACTGGAGAACGCATATCCCTACCATGCACATGTGAGTGAAATGGGCTATATGACGGGGAAATTATGTTTGCTAAATGTTGTTTCACTCCATTCGATCAAATTGTATTTTGAGATGGTGAACTATTTTCTCATTTTCTCTGCAAACTCCATGGTGCAGTTATGATTTTGTTTGTAAACGATTTCATAAAATTCACGTCTATTGTGGTTACATTCAATGTTTACCTTGAACAATCGAATGGTCATTACATCGTTGTTTTGCAAAAAATTATTTCCGATGAGACGGATCAACACATTTGACCAGTAAAGTAATCTATCACACGATCATGTACCTGGTGGGTTGGTTCTAAGTTCAAACACCACAATCGACATTTCATTCCTTTCGTGTGTATCCTTCCACCTTCTTCACCGGGTCCTGATTTGATTTTCTTATGTTTATTTTCTAATAATTAAACGCACATTTTTGCAAATAATTGTTTCGAATAAGGTAACTGACCAATCAGTGAACCAGAATGTAGTTCAAATATAAGGAGAACGTGAAGTGGCGCCGGTAGATTTTAAACACACTCGCTCCAGGACAAAGGACACAGAAGCCTTTACTGCATACCCATCGCCGGACACAACTGAATATTGAGGCGTGAAAGTGTCCGGTTTTATCAACGTGTAGTTGGTCAACATGGTTATGACAGGAAACAGTACACTCGAGCACTATAGCAATCAGGAGACGCTAAACCGCCGTCTCCCAAGTATTGATGTGTGCGACATCGGAGCGGTGTGAACAAGATGTTATTCAGATCGGAACATGTCTGAATAACACACTGATTTCAGCTTGTTTTACTGTTCCCAATGGACCGAGGATGTTATTTTAGCGAGAGTTCTGCATTTACTTCTAGACTCGTATAATTCAGCTTGCAATAGAGAAAAGACTAAGTGACAGAAACGAAATCGAAAAACGCCCGTGTTTCATGGCTCCAAGGCTTTCAGTTCAAAGCACTTTGAAGACCGGAACATCTAAAATTCTTTCAGATGAATTTCGCTCTGCAACGAGAAACCACTGTCCCACGAACGAACCGGATTGGTTTTATTGATCTGCCACCAAACAATCGTATTCTCCTATGTTTTCCCACTTCGGATACGTTTGCTAATATATTGGTCCAATCTGGACCATTACTAAGTCGGTAATTGAAATCTGGAATGATCTTCCAGATAACGGTACAACGAATGATCATCCATCTTTTGGTACCACCAAACTGCATGTAACCATCTGAAAAGTACATGTGATCTGTATTTTGTCGTTTTTCTTCCAGGATGAGAGATGTCACTTTGATGGCCGAAAAGCTGCAGCGAGGGTTCAGTCTTTCTCAACCGAACACACCGGGAACGAGCAGACACTGAAAGTGATGGTGAGCAGCCAAGGGCCGATCGCAATTGCTGTGGACGCCGATCGAGGTTTTCATCAATATAGGTAAGAACATCAATTTACTGTTGCATTTAACCAATGCCCAGAAGTGGATACACTCTAAGTGATAAGTGATATACATTTAATCAATACGAAATTTGACCCGATACCTGATTATCTGCTTTCTTTCTCTCTCCAGTCCTTCCTCACTCATCCCCTTTTTTCTCTCTCTCTGTATTTCAATTGACTTGTGTCGTATACTCAAATCCATCATCCCCCACAGTCGAGGAATTTATCAAAGCTCCAGCTGTTCATCTCACAGCTTGAATCATGCCGTACTGGTTGTTGGTTACGGTGAAGATCGAGGCAATCGTTATTGGATTATCAAAAACAGTTGGGGACCGCATTGGGGCGAGGGTGGATACATCAGAGTGGCCCGTGATCATGGGAACATGTGCGGAGTGGCCACAATGGCCAGTGTGCCCCAGCTCAACTAATCCCATTCAATGATTCCTAATGTAGTTTTGCACTTTACAATAAATTCTTTTCCCCAACACTTTTCACGACTCATGAGAGACCTCTACGAATGTCACAATTAAGCCGTCCGTTACGGTGAGATGCAAAACGCTCTCGTGGGTTATCAATCATAACGAATGAAATCGTTGTGGAATCCATGTCAATAAATCATCAGCACTATATTAACTCGGATTACTTGGTGAGTTTGATCGTTCAAGGGAGGAAGATAGTTGACACAAATAGTTAATTGATAACCATAGTTTCAGAGCTAAAGCACATGCACTCACACACAGGGTACGAAGAAGACAACCGGGGATGGACACGGGCAACGTGAATCTGCATTGGTGAATGATGATGTAATACTGCTGCTACACATGATGGTGGCAATGAACTAACTAGTCCATTCACTCTGAATGCACAAAAGAGATGCACCATGGAGTGCGTGACGTGTACATGTGAAATGCGCATCAGAAACAGACCATATGTTTTGAGAATTGGGAACAGGCAAACAATGCGCGAGAATTGTAGAACGAGATTTCAAGTGTGTGTGTGTGTGTGTGTGTGTGACAAGTTGGAGAGGAGAGAAGAATGTTATTCACAGTTTCTGTTACAAATAAATGTAAACGAATTTCGACAATGCGAACAACCGTGACATTTCATTGACTGTCTATTGTACCGTGTAACTAACCGCCACCGTGAAACAGGCATGATGCTCACACTATCTACAATGGAAGTGGAGACTAACAAAAGGTGAATAAAGTGTTTGCTTTCCGGTTCGGTTCTACGACCATTTCACTGCTCCAATCTGTTGTACTACCCGGTAGGCTCGCGCGTTAGTCAGAGACAGACTCACTCCGAGACTTCGACCGAATGGTCCAAGCCATGTTTGACTGACATGCTGTTACAATCGCGTGCCATGTCGCACGTATATGAAGTCGCACGCTCCGATATTTTCCCACATTTTAACAAGCCCAAACCAACCGTATACAGAACAACTTGGATCCTGACTGTGCAATGTCGTTCCTTCGTTAGAGTTGTGGCCTGCAACTAACTGATACACTTTCCATATGTGAGATGCTTGGCTCGTGTGTGCACCAGGATATCCTCCGTGAACGAATACAGCAGACAATCGCAAGTGGGCCGAGTCTAGGTGTGGGCTAAAACCGTCGACAGACAGAATGTTCTCCGTGGAGACGGCGAACTGACAATCTTGAAAAGAGGGAAAACTTGTCAACGCTGGAGCATTACGGGAAAAACGTCACCTGAGAACCAATGTGACCACATTCTAATTACGACCAGGTACAGCTTCATGTCATACAATCAAAATTCAGGAAGCTAGACGAATGATACACCGGGCCATCATTACATTGGAGTTAGTACATGCGATGCGTCTGTGGAAACGCTCACGTGATTGGACGCTGTTCCTTCAAGCAATAATATGATTAGTCGTTTCCAATAAAACATGCTCTATTTCTATGAATAACATTGGCACTTGCTGCTACCAATTCTTCACGTATTTCATTGATATTCGCAATTCCGGTTTGAGAAAATCCAGGTTTGAGTATTACAATACGCGTTATCGTATTGCTATATTCAATACAATTTCGATTGTTACAATTTGACGTTGCGCAATGAAGATTCCTGCCACGAAGGCGCAGCGAAAATCGAAGAGTGAGTGGAGCGTTTTGAACTATAGTGCAGCATCCAAAAATGAGTAAAGAAAATTCGATCGGTCCTATTTTTGACGTTTACGTTTTGACGTTTAGTGTTATGAGGAAGTAGGATGATAATTTGTCCATTGTGGAGAGCATCGGTTAAAAGATGTCCACTGATCTTGCACACAAAATACATGCTGCTAACTTCAAGGCGTCCAAAGTTTGGTTTTTGCTCTAGTGAAGATAAAAAAGAGATAATCAAAGTCTGATGGTACAACGCGATGTGGTGTACGGCTTTCGAGCACGATTAATTCAGTTGATCCAGGTCTGTGTCGATTGGGATACATTCCCGCGGAGAACCAAGCTCAGGGACGACAATTTATCATTTTGCTACCAATAGGCTTCTGTAATTTTCAGTTTTCTCTACAGTATAGTGGAGACTAGAATGCTTTTATCTACCTTTTGTGGTCACCAATGCCAAGACCATGTTTGTAGCTGTAAGATTATTTATTCTCACTGATGGGAGCGAAATTCTGTTCTACCGCACCAGCGTAGCAGTTCTAATGGGTGAAAAAGGGTGAAAAACGCCGCTACAGAGATGGGATATCAGGGAAAACCATCCGTCGCTCAACCCTGGCCAGGAGCATCTAGATGGCATGCACGATTACCAGCGACTCAGATGGGAAGCAACCCGCTCCGCAAAAGCAGATCGGCCCAACTACTGGAGCCAAATAACGATCAAGATAGAAACCGCAGCCAGTGTATGTCACTTCGGAGATCTATTTTGCCTCATAAGATCAGCTTCCGGTAGAAGGCAATCTTTCAACCTGTTCTGCGCGACTCTTCCGAGGGACTGATCGCCGATATTGTCGGTAGAATGACCAGATGGGTAGAACATTTTAGTCGACTTCTCAGTCATTCGCTGGGCAATTCGGCCGATATTTATCCCGATATGGTGTCCCTATACGAGGTCTACTGTGATCCTACAACGATAGAAAAAAATTTATTCCAACGGCAAGCTGCTCTTGATGAACTCATATTTTGTGCTACGCCCAGTCAATCAAAGAGGCAAGTGATCGCAGAAAGCTATCCAAACTTGAACACAGCCTAAATCACATCACACTCTAATGCCGTTTCCCATCGCGACCTGAACGCTATGTGCACAACTATTCCAATTTGAAAGTGAGTCCTATTCTCATCGAGGCCCTGTCTCTCACTCGGAGCGAATTTTCTGTTATCCCCGAAAAATATAATAACCAAACTGCAATAGAAGTCCAATTTGAATACCTTTTCTGGCAGACACAGAATTTGATAGCAAATTCATCAAATGAACTAGAACGATTCAAATTCACCGTGGTAAACTGTTGCCACCAATTTCGCAAACAGTCCACGTAATCGCGGACCACTAACTCGAAAAAGCACTTGGAAGAACTGAAAGCAATGAAAAGACGAAATGACATCGTACTAAGCAAACCGGATAAGAGTGCCGGAATTGTAATCATGAATAAATCCGATTACATTAACAACTTATCAGAGTTGTTAAGCGATGACACAAAATTTATTCACCTTCCCAATGACCTTGACAAACACACCCATATTGAGAGACAAATCACAGATAGCCTCCACTTTCTAAAGAATCAAGGTCATCTTGACCCATCCATCTTCGAAGCGATTAAACCCTGTGGATCCACAATTCCATTGCTATACGGGTTACCAAAGGTTCATTAGAATGGGTTACCTTTACGGTCGATTCTGTCAATGGTCAACCCCCATATAAAGGCACCGCGAAATGGCTTGCTGAAATTCTAGAGTAAATTCGACGGCAAATAAACAAATACAGTCTATTTGACACTTTCAAATTCGTGAACATGATCAAAGAACAAAAGATTAACGAAGATCAAATGTTTTCTCCAGATGTGGTTTCATTCTACACGAATGTTTCACTCATGGAAACGGTTGACTTCATCTGTAACTACATCGAGAAAAAAAACGAAATCGATACAAGAGTCCCGGTAGGAAAACTGAAAGAACTGCTCCTGAAATGCACTTTCGATGTCCAGTTTCTGTTCAATGGAAAACTGTATCATCTAAAGGATGGTGTCACTATGGGCTCTCTACTAGGACCGATATTAGCAAATGTGTTTATGGCTAAACTGGAGAACACAGTTCTAGAATCGGAAATTAGAAAGATGAAATTCTATAAACGATATGTTCATGATATATTTTGCATAACTGACAAAGAAAACGATCTAACCCTCATCACGCAAACATTTAACAAGGCTCACAATCCCATAAGGTTCACCCTGGAGGCAGAGAAAAATAACAAATTGGCATTTCTTGACGTAGGCCTGCACAGAACACCTGATGAACTACTTGAAAGAAGGATATACAGAAAAGAAACGTGAACCGGACAGTACACCAATTTTCACAGTTTCGTACCACTTATACAATAGAGAAACCTTATTCAGTGTGTTGTCTCGCGTGCACAAAAAATATGCTCCGATTCCACGTTCGCAGACAAACTTGATCAGATTAAAAACAGTCCAAGGGAAAACGGATACCCTGAAACGTTCGTCGAGAAAAAAAGAAACACGAGCCTGTTCAGGAAGCTTTGAAGAAACAACTGTTTTTGAAACGGTCACTCAAAGGAAACGATCTGTCTGACCTGATTAGGAAAAGTTTAGCGCGTGCTCTGAGAGTAACCTTCAATACTGCCAGGTTTTCATGCGTATTCACTCGCTCATCAATAATAAGAACACCCAATAAAGACAGTCTACCTACGCTGGCCTCATCTATGGTTGTATATTCCTTAAGCTGCGTTTGTAACGCAACCTGCATTGGCCGAACGGCGAGGCAACTATCTCAGCGGATTAAATAGCACTACCCATGTTGGATTCAACACGGTGCAAAAGGTGTCACAGGAAGCGCTATCCTTGCTCACTTAGCAAACTTGGGTCACCAAGTGAAGCTTGGTATCAACCTTTAAAATCATCTATCGAGTATCACCTCACCCATCCAATTCGCTGTGTCTCCACATCCTAGCCGCTGCGGAAGCGATCGGTTTTCGTTTATTCAAGCCCAGTTTATGCGCACAGAAAAGAGATTGGTCCATGCTATTCAACTACCGTGGCCAAATATTGATCGCACGGATGACGCATCACAGTTTGATTGCAGTGTTGTGGTGATCTAGGCGGGTGAAACACGTCCCACCACCCCACACCCCATTCATCTTCCTTTTAATCAATCACCGTGACTTTTGAATAACTGAATGACTATCCCCGTTCACAGTGCCATTTTCCTACTTGATCTATACAGGCCAGAAGATG